AATTTTTCATATCTCTGTTTGTATACAAAGTATATTCACACCATTCATGTCTTCATACATGTACTTAGGGTAATGATGTCCATCTTATTCCAACTTCTTTCCTACCCTCACATATACCCAACTTTTAAAATTTATTTATAAATTTATACATTTTTTCATCCTCTCCGGTATGAGTATTGATATAATGTTTATGCCTTAAAACAGTGAGATTTAATTTTAGAGCTTAGAACACAGCAAGGCAAACAAGCTATCTTCTTTAAAAATACCAATTCTCTGTGATACTGTTTGCAAATGTGTCCAAATCTGTTATTGCTTTTACCAGAAAAATAGACATACAGAAAAAATGAATTATCTTTGATTGAAAAATGGGTACTGTGATTTTTATAAATCTGACAATTATAGTTTTCCTATGTAATTATACATCAATATAGTTTGAATAAAATTATAGCAGTACTTTATTTACATCAAAGGAAGAATATTTTTAGCCTGATGAATAACACTAGAGATCTTCTAAATTCAATTTCTAAATTATACAATTGAAATGACCTGGACATCCTGTTGTTAAGCCAATCTCCTTACTGCTGTATCATTAATCTCTAGTCCATACCACACTGCTCTAAGGCTTCCAAATATAATCACTAACTGCATACATTGATCTGGTTGATGTGTATAAAAAGCCACTCACACAAGGTTCTAGTTAGTAATTTCTGGGTTTTATTTTAGCACAGAAAAATATTTTAAACCAAGTTTGTATTAGTTATATATAATAACAGTAAAAATAATCAAATGATAATATTAAATAACAATAACACATAGTTATACTGTATTACATACTTAGAAATTGAACAAATTACCTTTAATACTTTAATATTCTTTAATATGACTGGCCATAAAAAATTTTACATTATGTCCCAAATTATTTGCTTTTTAAACAAAACATTCTGTAAGGAAAAAGTATAATATTGTTACACATAATCAAATTAACTGAATTCTCCTTTAGAAGCTTAAGAAAGGTAATGTAGTTTTAGGAAAAAGAAGAAAGAAAAGAATTCATGTATGATTTAAAAAAATTACATTTTTGTAAAATATGCCAAACATTTGACCTTCAAGAGAAAAGTTACATACTTCATATTAATGTTCAGTTTAAAGGCCCTTTTAAATCTAGAAAAACATTCAAGGAGTTTCCTCTTCTTTAAGATCTACATTTTTTTTAACAACTAGAAAGCCTTCATAACATACATGTCATTCTTTTATTATAACAATATGTTTCAATCCTCAGCTTATTTTAAGTTTAAACATTTTATCCGTGCAGTGTGTTTGCAATCACTGTAAACCTCTGTCTCAGGAGCTCTCTTTTTTGTATGAGAAAGTTTTCAATAATATCTGCTTCTTTAAAGAGTCCGTCTATCTCATCAATGTAAGATGCATCTATTGCTGCTCTCTCACTAATAGGGAAAAAAAAGTTTTATGTTAAACTAAATAGTTGCATAGTCTATAAACATTATCATGATAATGTTCTTTATTAAACTAGATTTATTAACTATTTCATTTAAATGACTATGTGCATGAGATAGCTTTATTAATTTACTAAGAAAATGTTAAATTAGTCCCAAAAACATTTTTGACTACTCACAAAAGTCTCCTCACACAGCAGAAAGTATGC